AGAATGATCAGCGAGTGTAAAACGCGTAGATTTTTGCACAAATTCTCCTTATGAGTACCATAGGAAGTGTAAGGAGAGGCGTTTGGAGAAAGTGTATGCGGATATTAGAGAAAACGGACCACCTTCAATACTACGCCCCATGTAAGGTAATCCAAGACACTCTTGGATTCTGGATTCCAGGTACTGCATGGATTGCGGATTCTTTGTCAGTAGCACATGGATTCTGGATTCTAATTGTTAGCTAGATTCCGGAATCCTTGAGCTGGGTTCCGAGTTCCAAAGCCCACGATTCCGGATTCCACAAACAAAAAATTTCCGGATCCTTGGGCGAAATAATCAAATAGTTTGTTTATACTTTCTAAAACATGCAGTATATCAACTGTGATTAAATAACACTGTATGCATGCACGTCATGGAAGAGAGCTCTAACTTTTAATTTTGGCGTGAAGAATACTTTTCGACGCATGTTTAATTAACAAATTTTTTTGTTGAAAAAGATTTGGACTTCATTTTTTTCTCTATCAAAAAAAGAACAAAATGAAACGGCCAAAAGATCAAGAATTCGAAAATGTCGCAAATTTAACTTAATTAGCCAATAAAAACGTGATAAAATTAGGCTTACGTAAATAATATGGCAAATCTTTAATGACGTCACTGAAGACGACTGAAGACAGTTTGCGCACGATTTTTCATGGAACCAGTCTTTCTATTATCCATGTTTTAATTAATTGACATAGCACCAGTTCAAAAAACCGTTACTTGACATAAACTTGCAGTAACCAAAAAGCAGTTACAAGTTGAAAATACAAATATTTTCTTTGTCAAAATGAGTATTGAGTATAATATCTTTAAGGGTTTCCAAACGTAGGTGCGAATTCATGGCAATTTTTTCGCTGCAAAATTTTCCATTGTTTCGAATCTGCTCTTACTTTGATACTTTTTGTTGGCAATTTTTCATGCGGGAGTTACCCGAAATCTTTCTTGGCGGTTAACTCTTTACATCAGATGTACCCAATCTCAACTGCTACATAAACATTGGAAAATCCCGATTAAACCGCTAGGAAATCGTAGCAAAAATCGCTTGCGTAAAAGGCCCCAGTTAAACAGTAGCCTGAGAAAACAGCCGACATTTGGCGACGCTACCACTGGTTTCCCCGCCAAATGACGTCTGAGAAACGAGCGCAGAAAATTCCATACTGATGACGCGTCACTACCCAGATCCGGGTAGTGCTTCTGATTGGTCGTGCCGCGTGGGAAAATAAATTCAACCAATCAGAAACAATGACAGGAACAATTTCATTTCCTATCAGGTCACCCTTTTATCATGACTGTGGGATGTGTTGCCGGAGACGAAGAATCTTATGACGTCTTCGCAGATCTTCTGGATCCCGTTATTGAGATGCGACATGGCGGCTACAAGAAAACAGACAAGCACAAGACTGACCTTGATTTCACGAAAATCAAGGGTGGAAAACTTGACGAGAAGTACGTGCTATCGTCACGTGTTCGCACCGGGCGCTCCATCCGGGGTTTCAGTTTACCCCCGCACTGTTCACGAGCCGAGAGGAGAGGAGTCGAAAAAGCCGTGGTAGATGCCCTGGGTAAACTGGACGGCGATTTTAAGGGAAAGTAAGGCCTACATGTATGTTTCGTTAGTTATACGAAAGAAAGAAAAGAACTTTTTCTGTAATTTTCCCTAGATGTCCTAAAATGTTTAGTTTGCGAGACATTCTAACGCCTGAGCCATGCAATGTAGCATATAAAACACAAGAAAGAATGTTTCAAGGATTTCCAAACAGTGAGAGTGGAACAAAAAAGACCAATTTTTCAGGGCAGCGCTCGTAAAAAATAAATCATCTCGTAAAATATCCGCGGGTGTTATCTACAAGAACACAAACTCCTTATACAAGGCGGTGTAGACTTAGTTTTAAATTCGCTCCCTATCTTGTTTCAGGTACTATCCACTCAACAAGATGACAGAAGCCGAACAGGAGCAGCTCATAGCAGACCACTTCCTCTTCGACAAGCCAGTCTCGCCACTCTTGACATGCGCAGGAATGGCCCGTGACTGGCCCGATGCCCGAGGGATCTGGCACAATGACAAGAAAAACTTTCTTGTCTGGGTTAATGAAGAGGACCACACTCGAGTAATCTCCATGCAGACTGGAGGGGATATGGCTGCTGTGTTTGAACGATTTTGTACTGGCCTTAATAAGGTGTGGAAATTATTCATTACTTTTGCTTAATGTATAATTATCGACCCCAGAGATCAAGCTTTTGACTCCGCGCCTGCGCAATAGAGAAGAGTTTTGGGGTCGAGAATGTGCTAGTATCTAAGACGTTGTACGCCAAGGAGGGGCCACTCCTAGTTGGACTTTATTTTGAAAAAGCGCTCGAAGGGAAAGGTGTAGGTAAAGCAATCGGAATTTGGCAGAGTCTACTCATGAAAACCAGATGGAAAAAAGAAGTGTCGCAGAGAGTTAAGTGTTCAAGTGCTGCTAGTATGCAATTAAAAATTGCTCATGATTTAATCTAATGAAGATAATAACAATAATGATAGTGATAATGATGATGATAGTACAGTAATAATAATAATACTAATAATAATATCAACAAGGATGATGACAGATAGTAAAAACAATAATGATAGAAACGATAAGAGAACACCAGTGTCCATAGAGTGAAAAGGTAGATAGCAACGATAGAAACTAGTAGTGTATTGAAAAAAGTTGGACGAAATTTGCTGACGTTCCTTATTACGCTGATTTAGCAACAGGAACGTCAGTTTACGACGGGAAAGCGCGCGGAAAGGACTGAACGCGACTTCCGGTGCTCAATTTGCTGCTCTCGATTGGTCAAGCCAGTCGTTTGATTTGCGCGTGTCGTCGTCAACTGACGTTCCCGTTCTCTTGCTAAATCGACGCCTTTAATTTCTACCAGGTCGAGCAACTTATCAAGGGAGCTGGGTACGAGTTCATGTGGAATGAGCACCTTGGTTATGTGCTTACCTGTCCATCAAACCTGGGTACCGGTCTCCGCGGAGGCGTCCATCTGAAAATCCCTCTCATGAGTAAGGACGAGGCGCGGTTAGACGATATCCTGAAGAAACTCCGTCTGCAAAAGCGTGGCACGGGAGGCGTTGACACGGCGTCCGTGGGAGGCGTGTANAACGCTGATAGGTTGGGGTTTTCAGAAGTGGAACAAGTTCAGGGTGTAATCGATGGCGTACAGTTGTTGATTGAGATGGAAAAGAGACTGGAGGAAGGCGGGACCATCGATGATTTGATTCCCAAGTAAACTCGCTGACGCTTTTCTTCTCTGATCGCAAATACTCTTCAGATACACACATGTAAATAATCCTACGCGAGAATTTGTCAACTGTCCACGAAACATGGAAAGACAACATTGTCAGTCTGATTAAAATCATTGTTTCTTCGTATTGTTGTTGTTGTGGATAATTATACATTTCTAAGAAACTGCCCACCTATCCCTCCCCTAAGCTAACATTTTGCCTCAAGTGAGAACTAACTTTTAATGTTAGCTTAGGGGACGGGTAGGTGGGAAGTTTCCTAGATCATTATAAATGGGAAACTGCCCTCTTACCCCTCCCCTAAGCCAAGTCTCTTGTGCTTTTCGGGAAACATTTTCCTTATTTCCTCAAAACAAGTTGACACTCTGTTGTTTCCTACGCCACGGCTGAGAAGAGACGTAGGGTGACAAAGAGGACCCTGGGTACGAGGTTGATCTGAAAGTCTTTGATCACGTGGTACATAGGAACTGGCAAATACCCAACTTTGTTTCCAAGCTAAAGGAGGGAAAGAACAAAGAAACTGGCAAAGAGTTTGGTAAAACCAAATACAAAAGGCTGTAACATTCAATTGTTTTATTACATTCAAGCCATCAAGGAACAGCTTTTTAAAAATACACTTCAAAACAACTGCATTCAGAAAACAGACAGCTACTTTCATAATTTGCTTTAATACAGGAGTTGGCCTCTAGATACAACATGTACAACCATTTTATACTCCTCGTAAAAACAGAACTTTCACTGATACTACAATACCCCGGGTATCAGGGGGTTTTCTCGCGAATGGCGGGATGTTTTGGTTTGGCCGCTGAACTAAACCGATCTAACCATACTCGGGATTAGCTCGACGCTATTAAAGCATTAGAGCTCTGGTCAAGAGGCTTTCTGCGAAAGGTCGCGATGAAGACTTTCCGAAACCGGAAACCGCGCCTGAATAGCCTGCACCGCAGGCGCTCGAAAGAAATATTATGTGCTCTATAAAAAGTGGGGCGCGCGCGCTGGGAGAGCGAGTCTCCCTCGCACACGCTATTTTTTTCTTGAGCCCACATTCCTTTTGAGGTACTGTACGCATGAAAGTCTCTGGCACCTACGGTAAGGGTGGATTTCCACTGTCGCGTAATTTTATGATCACACGGACGTAACTTTTACGTTACTAGTAACACAGAGGCTATGTATGAGAGGCCGCGTGTAAACTTAAAAATTGAACAAGGTTCAGCTTTTCAACATCAACAAGGTAGAAAAACATTTACAAAAGCAAACGGATAGCCATCTACTAAACACATGACTGACCGTTATGAAAATTCGAATTCAGAATCTCAAAAAATAATAATAATGTTCCAACGGTAAATTTAACTGGTAGGGTACAATAAAGGTCGTAACATATTACAGAAAATGTCCTGCCTGTCGTTTAGATAAAATCCTCTCAAATTACAAAGGACTATCTCTGTACCAACTGGATACAATCATTTACCACCAACGAAGTAACTGTTCATTGACATGTTTACGCCATTCTTCTTTCTTTCTTTATTGCATTTTACATTCTTGCTGATTTGTTGTTGGTTTTTTCGCCTCTTCCCCTGGTAAAACTCTTGCTCTGGGTCTTGCCGAAGCTGAAATGGAAAACAAAATCATGGATTACAAATCTAGTTTTCGATGCGACAAAGCCAGAATGTATGCGGTCCTTTATACCATTTCTAGTTCTGTCGGTTCGAGAGCAATTGCAACAGTCAACGCTAATGTTTTGATTCAGTCCAAGGTTAATAAAGATAGCAGACAAGAACTTGGCTTCTTAGCTGTGACGATTGCTTTGTTCTCATTTCTTGGAGCCGGCATCGAAGCCAGAATTGATGATGAAGACGACGATGATGATGATGTTGTTGAACATGACGACGATATTGATAATGACGACGTGAAAAATGATTATGATTATAATGAAAAAAATGAACTTTAAAACATTATGACGATTATGATGTTGGTAAAAAACACTAGTGGAGGAAAGGACGATGATGATTTGGAGACACATAGTGATAACGATAATATGTATGAAGATAAGAAAAAAAGCTGATGCATTTTACCCCCAAACTTTCTTATAAACTATAGTGCATTTTCACATGATATCACGGCGGCCATATTGGTACCCCAAAACAATGAACTGGAGGCCATATTAGCGTCCCAAACAAATCATCTTTTCTTATGTAAACGTTTTCTTTTGCTCCAATGGCTTACCGGCAATGTACCGTGAATCCTCTATTAACCCCACCCCCCTCTTC